TCACCCCCTCCTCCTCCTCCTCCTCCTCCTCCTCCTCCTCCTCCTCCTCCTATTCTTCGTCGTCGTCTTCGTATTAGTATTACTAGTATTCTTATGAGTTTTTATTGTTCTTAGTATTAGTCATCTTATTATTAGTAGTCGTCGCATTCTTATTCGTAATCTTAGTGTTCTTATTAGCAGCATTATCATTATTCTTAGTATTAGTAATATTAGTATTATTATTAGTTGTCGTATTATTGGTCGTATGTTCATGTGTATTCTTCTTATTCGTAATAGTAGTGCTCTTCTTAATATTAGTAGCCGTATTATTCTTATTCTTAGTATTATTGATCAGATTAATAGTATTCGTAGTAGCGTTCATCTTCTTATTCGTCTTCTTCTTCGGATTCGTCCTAGTATGCGTATTCGTGATATCATTAATCGGGTTCTTCTTCGTCGTCTTATTATTATGATTCGTAGCACTATTATTCGTATGATTAGTCTTATTCGTCGTATTAGTATTCTTATTGTTATTATTGTTATTCGGATAATTCGTATTATTATTATTAGTAGTACGATTCCTCTTAGTATTCTTCCTCCTCCTCCTCCTCCGCCTCCTCCTCCTTCTCCTCTTCTTCCTCCTCCTCCTCCTCCTCCTCCTCATCCTCCTCATCCTCTTCCTCCCCCATCTTCCTCCTCCTCCTCCTCCTCCTCCTCGTCCCCTCCTCCCTCCTTCTCCTCCTCCTCCTCCTCCTCCTCCTCCTCTCCTCCTCCTCCTCCTCCTCCTCCTCTTCCTCCCCCATCTTCCTCCTCCTCCTCCTCCTCCTCTTCCCCTCCGCCTCCTTCCTCCTCCTCCTCCTCCTCCTCCTCCTCCTCCTCCTCCTCCTCCTCCTCCTCCTCCTCTCCTCCGCTCCTCCTCCTCCTCCTCCTCCTCCCCTCATCCTACCTCCTTTCCTCCTCCTCCTCCTCCCTCCTCCTCCTCCTCCTCCTCCTCCTCTCCTCTCCTCTCCTCCGCCTCCTCCTCCTCCCGCTCCTCCTCCTCCTCCCCTCCTCCTCTCCTCTCCTTCCCCTCCTCCCTCCTCCTCCTCCCTCCTCCCTCCTCCTCCTCCCTCCTCCCCCTCCTCCTCCTCCTCCTCCTCCTCCTCCTCCCTCCTCCTCCTCCCTCCTCCTCCTCCTCCTCCTCCTCCTCCTCCTCCTCCTCCTCGTCCTCCCTCCCCCTCCGCCTCCTCCTCCTCCGCCTCCTCCTCCTCCCTCCTCCTCCTCCTCCTCCTCCTCCTCCTCCTCCTCCTCCTCCTCCTCCTCCTCCTCCTCCTCCTCCTCCTCCTCCTCCTCCTCCACTCCTCCTCCCACTCCTCCTCCTCCTCCACTCCTCCTCCTCCTCCTCCTCCCCCTCCTCCTCCTCCTCCTCCTCCTCCTCCTCCTCCTCCTCCTCCTCCTCCTCCTCCTCCTCGTCGTCGTCGTCGTCGTCGTCGTCGTCGCCGCTGCGCGCGCGCGGGGCGCGCCAAAGCCCCCAGGCCTCGCTCTGTAGCCCAGAGCCGGCCCCGGTCAGCGGGTCCTCGACCTCTTTTAGGGGGCGGCGCTGGCGACGTCGGCGACGGCGTCGTCGACGACGACGACGGGAACGAAGACGACGCAAGCGAAAAGGAGAACGAAACGGAGGAGGTGGTCCCTACTCGATCTCCTCGTCCTCCTCCTCCTGTTCCACCTCATCCTCGTCTTCCTCCTCTCCTCCTCCTCCTCCTCTTCCTCCTCCTCCTCCTCCTCCTCATCATCATCATCATCATCATCATCATCATCATCATCATCATCATCATCAGCATCATCATCATCATCATCATCATCATCATCATCATCGTCATCATCATCATCGTCATCATCATCAGCATCATCATCATCAGCATCATCATAATCAGCATCATCATCACGAACTCGCGAGGACCCGCAGGTCCGCGCTGCTGCCGCACGTCGACGACGGCACTGGCCCGCCGACATGGCAGGACGAGCCGCCGCACTCCGACGGCTCTGGACGGCACTCAGCGGCGCCCCGCGGCGCCAACGCGGCCGCGAGCTCCTGACGGGCTGCAGGCGGACGTGCCATCCTCTCGCTGCACAAGACAATGAAGAGAGAGAGAGAGAGAGAGAGAAACAAAAAAACGAAAACGACGGAGGGTGCAGTCACGAGCACGTTTTCTTAAGACTCGAGATAACAACCGTCAGCGGGGATGTTCCTCTCCTTCCCCTTACCCCGACCTGGTCACGTCACGGTTCGCGCCACCTCTGTTAGGGAATTGCCAAGGCCAAGGGTAGCCAAATCCCAGACGGCGCAGGGGCGAATCGTGATGTTACCAGCCCGCTCGCCCCCCCCCCTCACTCCCACAGTTGTGGCCGTTATCGCCAGGGGATTTAAAAAAACGGAGCTCAGGGTCCCAAGCGGGCCCACAAACCACAATTCGGAATTGAGAGCTGGTCCCAGGGATGGGGTCCAGACCGACCTCTGAGGGGCACACGCTGCGCAAAGCTCACGACGATCTGATGATTCCGATCTGGACGCTTTCCACGATGTAGGCCCGTGGGGCTGTCGGGCCCACGAACAATCAAAAATATATCTGGGGCGAGGAACTGCCCCCACGGAAAAGGGTCGGGACCTCTGGGGCCGCGGGGGTGAGAACAAAAAAAACAACAACAAACAAAAACGTCGGCGGATGAACGGACCGACGACGCCATCCCAGTTCCTCCCTCCCCCCTCCTCCTCCTCCTTCCCTCCTCCTCCTCCTCCTCCTCCTCGTCCTCGTCTTCCTCCTCCTCCTCCTCCTCCTCCTCCTCCTCCTCCTCCTCGAGCGTTGACGCAAAAGCCAAACCCTTCGCGTTGCGAAACACTCGCGAATAATGTTCGTCAATGTTTGGCCACAAGCGACCCTCACCCGGCCCCAGGGCAACTAGAAAACGGCTCGCGGGATAAAGCCTGACCTGGGAAAACGGTCCAGACCTCCGGAGGCGCCCATTGTGAAAAACCACACACACAAAGTCGGAGGTGTGGGTCCCTTGTGTCCACCCATCCCCCACTTGCAACGTCATAAAAGAGAACTAAGAAGAATAAAAAAAGAAGAAGAGAAGAAACTACATACAATTATAATATATATATATATATACATATATATATGTATATGTATATATATATGTGCGTACACACAAACTGTCGAAGGCTTGCGCGGATGCCTCGGGTCGGCGCTCGACCCCCGTCCCCTGGCGCGCGGAGTCAGCAGAAATCTGGGGAGGGAGAGCTCCAAACGATTCCATATGTTCGAGCAACATGCCTAGAGCGGAAAGCCCGTCGTCGCAGGGAAGATGGTAGCGTCGGCAATCGAAACTGTCGTAGGAGACAGCAGGACTAGCTTTGCACCTCTTCGAAACCAATCGCAACTGCTCAGGGGAGGTCCTAGGCAAGGCCGGCGTGATTTTTCGGGGGGGGACCGTCCCAGAACCAACCCCCCAGAAATTACTGAACCCGTCTCCTTCCTTGGACAGGAGGGACAAGGGCCCCGACACAACCGAACTATCCGCAGCCAACGTGGTCGTTGTTCTCCAGGGTGTGGGATCCTTCGTAATGAGGTGCACTCTCTTGGCGCCCTTGTCCAGGCCAGCCGTGGGCCAGGCCTTCCAGTCGACATTCAACCGAGCCCTATACAGGCTGTCGGCCTTCGAGACCACTTCCATCAGCCCGACCAACTGCGCCTCGCAAAAAGCTAACTGAGCAGCCGACCGCTGACAGGGGGCGCGCTCTTGCGCGAAGCGTTTTATGGCGCGCAAGCTGTCTCGGAACTCACCCATGCGAGCAGCAATCGAGGCAGGCCAGCGCAAGAAACAGGAGTGAATAGCCTGCGCCTGCTTGCTCGTGCCTCGGTTGTCTCGCTGCAAAACAACCAGGCTGCGAAACTGGGCCCCCCGCCAGCGGATGGCTCGATGGCCAGGGTACCTCGGAATACCATCCCTCCCCACGACAGATCTCCACATGAGCTGAGGCCCCGAACTCCTGGTCCCCACCCTGACAAGATCAGCAGTTAGAAGAGACATGAGTTCGGCTTCAGCAACGCCAGCCCAGGCTCCGTAGCCCGCGGTGAGGAGGTCGGCCGCTCGAGCGGCATCACCTGCCTCTACCGTGCGAAGACCTGTCAGAGCGACGTCCAGCACATGGTCCCAAGATCGCCGCTGAGGTCTCGGGCCGAAGACGGAATCGCGAGGAATGGGGGGGATCACGCAAGCTGAGAGCCTTGAGAGAGGCAGGGGAAGGATGGAAGAGGAGGTCGACTGGCCTGCGAGTGTTGAGGTTCGCGCCATGCACGACGCAACAGCTGGACACCGCCTTCCCAAAACCTCCACTGCACGCGAAATAATCAAACTCGGCCGGGGGACCTTCCCCGAAGTGGGCGAAGCCACCAGAATCGAGCAACTGTCCTCGAAGCTCGCTGATGATCGCCGATGACGAGAGGACCCCTGGAGACATGTTGAAGTCCTCACCGAGGACAAAGGACCCCTGGAGGGCCGAACACGTAGCGCCCAAGGAGGCCAACATGATCAAATTTGTGTCCGAGAGGTCTTCCGCGCGGTAAAGGTAGACACTTCCGGAGGTGAAAGAGAGGCCCCCTGGGACCTGCACATGAGCTAACATAGCGTGGCCTGGAGAGACCACCGCGCCCTCGTCCGGCGCAGAGAGGCCGAGCCAGTCACGCACAAGAATCACAACCCCTCCACCAGTGTCAGTATCTGCGGGCAGAGCAGGACACCAGAGGGACTTTCAGACATTACGAGCGCACCACTGAGAAGCCGAATAGATGTTCTCCGCCTGCAATAGGCGGTGCTCCTGGGCCAACACGATGTCGGCAGGCGTATCGGGTAACATCTTTTTGAGAGTGCCCCGCGAGTTGCAGTTGATACAGCGCACCATCAGCAGCACTGATCCCCGCCCTTCAGGATCCAGGACCTGGCCAGGAGAAGGGCGGGGAGAGGAGGGCAGAGGAGGAGGCAAGAGCCTGGGGCTAGGGACGAGCTCCACTGGGCTGCCAGCACCAGGATACCCCAGGACAGGATAGCGAATTTGAGAGACGCCAGAGACGCCAAAATTGGCCAACTTACAGGCGGAGTCAGCTGGCATAGAAGTGCGGGTCGATCCGACTCCCTGCTAAATTCGATCAGCCCCCCAGAGCGCGCGGCGCACAGCACCCCGCAAGCCTCGGAATCGACCGGCAGGGAGAGCGACGCCCCCTTTGTCAGGAGGGGGGCGACGGGAGACAGGCCGAGAGGCCACAGGATAAAGTCAGAACTCCTGTTAAAGTCGGACGCCCCCCTGCACGCCGCCGCTCTAAAGCTCGTCGGCGTCAGGTGCAGGAGGCCTTGATTCGCAGGAAGCTTGTCAGTCCGCTCCTCGAGGAACTCCAGGGGCGGAGGTGCCCCCTCCGCGAAGGCATCTGCTGCGGGGGCCTCAGCTGGCTGGGCGCTCGCGGCGCCTCCAGCCTCAGGAGACGCATCCGCGGCAGCCCCCGAAGACGCCGAAGTCCCAGTAGTCGCGCCGGCTTGAGGGGCGCCAAGTTGACCTTCAGGGGCCGCGGAGCCATCAGCAGGAACGTCGACTCTCGCCCTCTTGGCTGCCAACCTTTTGACCTGGGCCTCGTGTTCCTTTTTGATGCGGTCTGCTGTGTCCTTCGCCTGGGCAAACAAATCAGCGCACATCTTCTTGACACCTTCACGAAGAGCTTCGCACCGAGCTGCCATCTCCTTCTTGTCGATGTCGCTGAGTTCGTAATCCGTATCACTGGCCGTGAAGAAGTTCGCATCCACCACCAAACACTTCTCCAGGTTGCCCTCGAGAATGTCCTTGACCGAGAGAACTGTGTGCCCTGGAGGCGAAGCATTACCTTGCACACTGCTGCTGAGCTTCGTGACCAGCGCCTTGTGAGACTTTTCAGCTGTCCCCAGCTCGGCGCGCAGCTCCGCAACGATATCGCGCTGCTTCGCCGACGCCGACTGCAAGTCCTCGATCTTTGCGATTGCTGCTTGAAGCCGTTTTCCGTAGCCCGTAGCTTCGAAAATGCGCAGTTGTTCTGCGTCTGAATCGAGTGCTGATGAAGTAGGGCCCGTCGAGCTGCGGCATCCTTGCGGTATATAGCAGCTGCTTCGGGATCTCCTCCTTTTCCCCATGATGTTGGCAAGCTGTTCGATCTCCTCTGGGGAGAGCTTGTCCGTGCCTTTGACAGCTTTGTGCTTGGCCGCGGCAGCCGCGCCACCGTCACCCACTGCTGAAGCAGCACACCTCCAGCTGGGTCGCTCACTGCATCGCCTTTAGCCGTAGAAGACGAGTGCTGCCAAGGTTGTCTGCAGTGCTTTTGCACCACCACCAAAACATGCGGTTCTTACGGCATCCGCATGAATCGCATTCCCGCGTCGCCTCACGCTGACGTAGGTGCCCACCTGCTCCACCTCGTTGCCTTTCGGGCTGCTGCTGAAATTGTAAACCAGAAAGCAGGGGAAGAGACGGTTGCTGCCGTTGTACTGTCCGACGCCAACGATTTGATACACCGTTGCCAGGAGCAGAATCAGCAGCGGCCATGGCTGCCGCAACTGGAGAATTTTGAAGAATAAATCGGCTCGCAATCGCAAGGCCGTTTCGAAGAATGCGCGATTGACTAAGACCTCTCGAGGCCTCGAAATGGCAGATGGCCCCAAGATGCACCCAAGACGGCCCCAAATGGCCGGATGATGGCCTTAGACTGCCCAAAAGGCCAGCCAGAGGCCTCCACGACGGCCCAAGACCCCTCCAAGACGTCCCCCAGGAGGTCCGAAAACTCGGAAACCACCTGGTCCGATAGCTCGCCCGACTCCGTGTCCCCCGAAAGCTTTCGAAACCCACTCGGGGAACGCGTGGCCCGATAGCTTGGCCAAGCTCAAACAACACTTTCGGCCACGCAGACGCTTCCAAAAAGGCAGGGGCGGCGGTGATTCGCCGCAGGCGTCTTCGATTCAAACTGTGCGGCTTGCAGACAATCACAGTGTCAATCACGTCAAGCTCTGATTTTCATACCTGCAAACGATTGCGAACATCCGATGTTGACGCCCTCTTGCTGATGCGCGGACGAGCCGGGAGGAAGAGGCTGAGGGAGGAACGAAGATGGAGGAGGGGCAACTGTAAAATTTAGGACTAGGAGGTGAACGTAGCGGGTGAGAAGGGAGCGGGGAAGCCGATGCAGTGGCGGACGGCCAAGGAGAAACTCACGCGAGGAAGACCGCCACCACGCCTTCAGCACGTACTTCAGCCTTACCCCTTCCCCCAAGGCTCTCAAGGCGACTCCATGAGCCCCCAAGACGCCCTCGAGAGATCCCATGGGGCCCTCCTCCCTCTCCTCACCCCCGTTTCCTCAATCTTCTCTACCCCATCCCCTGGGACAACCCTTGTCCTCCTCAACCTGCTCCTCCTCTTCCTCCTCCTCCACCTCCTCCACTGTATCCCACCATGCACGCTGAGTCCTTTCAACCATGCAGGATTACTCGCCCCCATCTGGCCGTGGTGAACACGCAGCTGCATGGCTTGGGTACCGACGGGCAAGAAGCTCGCCGTCGCGACATAGCTGATGCAAGGCATAGTGAAGTGTAAAGGCTTGCTGTAGAGCAATCGCCAGAAGTGCATTAGGTGAATCGGGATCCTTAAGAATGACGCCGCAAGTTGGGGCAAACGGTTTGAACGAAAATGGCGACGGCAACCTGCTCCTCCTCCTCCTCCTCCTCCTCCTCCTCCTCCTCCTCCTCTTCCTCCTTCTCCTCCTCCTCTTCCTCCTCTTCCTCCTTCTCCTCCTCCTCTTCCTCCTCTTCCTCCTCCTGCTTCCCCCAGTCCTCACCCTCCGAATCCTTCCGCCATCCCTTCCCCTCCTGTCCTCCTCCGCCGCAATGCCCCCGACCCAGGCATGGTGGCGGGCTGAGTTCTTGGCATGCCACAAGGTTCTGTCCGCAGGGGTGCTTGGCGCGCCAAACGTTCGAGGAACGGTTTGTCTTCGTTTTTTGCCTGTCCAAAGAGTTCCCCGCTGGGCCTCTGCCCAAGAGGCCGAGAGGCTCCAGAGGGGACCCCAAAGAGGCACGTAAGAGGCGCCGAGATACATCCAAGAGTTCCCCCAAGTGTTTCCACGGCGGCTGGGGTAACACGTGGTCGAATACCTTGGCCATGCGTTGCCCAAACTTTTTGATGCAGGGGCGTTTCCAAAAGGCTGGGGGCGGCGTAAATTGGGTCGAAGTAGGCTTCTTCGATGCCCTATTTCACTTCCCATGGCAAGGCCGGCACGTGGCGTCTTCAAATGTTCAGTGGTTTGGACAGCTCCAGACGTATGTACGGACATCAGTGATGTCAACGCCAGAAAGACTGCTGCATTGTTCAGCAGTGGGTGCAAGAACAACGCTGTGGCCACCCGACGGGAAGGAAGGCGCCCAGCGACGAGGCCGAAACCGATTGCGTGCAGCAGATTCCGCACCCCCCCTCTTTCACTGCCCCCTCGTCTCGTCCAACCCGGGAGGACTCTTGGCCGCCACAACTTTCCCGCGAGTTTCAGGAAACGGTGGAAGCGGCGACGCTGGCGATGCCGATAGAAAAAGCTAAGAAGGACGAACGCCCGCCGAACGATGAACGACAAACGCCGAACGACGAAGGACGACGACGACGACGGCGACGACGACAACGACGACGACGAGGACGACGACTACGACGACGAGGACGATACCGACGACGACGATCACGACGACGACGACGACGACGACGACGACGACGACGACGACGACGACGACGACGGCGGCGGCGGCGGCGGCGGCAAGCGACTGCAAGCAATGGCAGCAAGCGACGGCAGCGGGCGGCGCTGGCGGGCGGCGCCGGCGGGCGGCGAGAAGGGCGGCGCCCTCGGGCCGCGTCCTGGAGCCGCGAGGCGATGGCCTCCCCCCGCAGCGCCTCCTCGGCCGCGCCCTCGCCTCGGTGCGCGGTGTCTGGTTGGCGGTTGGCAGTCGCCTTCCGTCTCGAGCGGGTACGTATCGCCGTGCGGGCAGCGGACAGGGAACTACCGAGGGTTGCAGGACAGTGGCCATGAAGGAGCCCGAAGGGGCCACCACGGCGCCAGGAGATGCTTGGAAGCGCGTTCGGCGCGCCAAGCGGGGTGGTCGTCCGCATGGGCCTGCTGGTGCCCACCGATCTGGGGACGTGCAGTCGAGGATCTCGAAGAGCGCCCCTCAAATATGGGCGCCCTAAAAGAAGAGTCGTGACGGCCAGTTCTTCTGCGCCTTCGGCCTCTGGAAGCAGGTTCTCCCAGGCCCAGGACCGTGACAGAGACGGCGCGGGATGAAAGACCGGCCCCCAGGAACAGGTCGAGATGCCAAGGGGAACACGTGCCGAAATAAAGGAGAGAGCGCGTTCCACTGCCACCAGCGTGAAAGATATACCTCATGGGGATCCCAAAACCCCCCTGACAAAAAGTCTCCTGCAAACTCCCTGGAACCCACCTTTCCCTCCCCAACCCTCCCTTCCTGGCCCAAACCGCTGGGGGGGGAGTTCCTACCCGCCTCGCTTTTGCACCAGGGGAAGGGGCTTTCGGACACAACCCCTGCAACCCAGGGGGGGTGCACACAGAAAGCGCTTCGTCAGATTCCGCCATCCTCGGTGGCGGGACGGCGTCCACATCCAGCGCTAGCTGGTGTCCTCTATCGGGGACGCACTGACCAGGGTCAGTGCAAATTTGGGTCAGTTAGGCTTTGCAGGATCCTGCAATATCTGGCGCTCTGGCTGACCCCCGTGTGCATTGACCCCCGTCGCAAGGCTCCCAATTCTGGGGGCTCGTCCCCGGACCAGTGGACATGAGCCCCACCACGTCTCCAAAGATCCCTGGCACACCTGCGGGAGGGCCAATCTGCTCCTGCCCCCCTCCCGACGGGTGGTGCAGTGGGACCACCGCCGCCACCGCCAGGGAGAGGGCACACACGAGGCTGAGCAGCGCCACAGGAGGAGGAGGAGGAGGAGGAGGAGAAGGAGGAGGAGGAGGAGGAGAAACGGGCGCCGGCAGCCGTCTATGAGCCCAGCCCCTGCCCCGTAGCGCGGCTGCAGCCGACAAGACTGGCCATATCGCTCCTGCACGACAAGAGCACGGAGGAAGGACGAGGGGGGAGCGCGGCGGGCAGCAAGCGTGGCGTCGCGGAGCGGTCGGAATGGAGCGGATCGGGCGGACGTCGGTCGGTCAGGCGTCGTCGGTCAACCGTGGACACGAGGACGGACCACCATCGCAGAAATGCTGGCGCTGAGGCCCAGGCGCTCGTCCTCGGGCCGCGCGAGGTCCTCGCGGAGCGCGTCCGCCGCCCTCTGGAGGCCGCAGTCCGCGAGGAGCTTGGCCTGACAGGGATCGGCTCAAAAAAAAACGCTCCGGGGCGGCCCTCCAGCCTCGGGATGCCTTCTGGCGGCTGCGCCTCGCCGAGAGCGTTCGGGGGTTCCCGGATCGTCCCGAACGGCCGCCAGAGACAAGGGGACCAGCTCAGGGGGAGAGACATCGAGCCGGACTCGGTGATGTATCGCCGATGTTTCCACCAGAGGCCCCCGATAGCGAATCCACACGCTCCTGGGCGGAGTTGGCTATCGGGCCCCTTATCGGCGATGAACACCGAGAGAGGAAGTAAGAGGGGGCAGGCCTTCTCAGAAGGCGACGTAGCTTCTCAGAAGCCCTCCAGCATTCTGAGAAGCCCCCAGTGGCCTCGGAGACAAGGCTCAGAAAGCTTCTCAGAAGGCCGGAGGCCTTCTGAGCCTTCTGAGAAGGCCCGCCCCCTCTGCCTTCCCCACTGGGCGCGCCGCCGACGAACCCTCTCCTGGGGTGCGTCCTGCCCAAGATTTTGAGGCGGATCCGGCCGTGGCCACGAGGGCGCCCCAGGAGCATCAAGAAACCCTGGGGAGCGAACCCCGGTCATTGAACCTCCAACCTCTGAGCCTATTCTCCCTTGACGTTGCCGCCGAGTCTGGCTTTCGGGTCAAAACCCGGGCCTCCGGCGGCCGTTCGGGACGATCCGGGCACTCCCAGAACGCTCTCGGCCAGGCGCAGCTGCTGGAAAGCACCCCGAGCCTGGAGACCGCCAGGAACCGATGAAAACGCCAGAAAACGCTCGAAAGCCACGAAACATCGTGCACACGTGCGTCTTTCTTTCCTTGCCCCTGATGGCCACGGCTATCAGCGCGGGGTCGTCGCCCCGCGGAGCGGCGGGCTTCGGCACATGCGGCGACATGGCTGCGCCCCGCGGCTGGGCGGGCCTTGGGCGCCTGGATCTCCTCGAGCGGGTGCGGGCAGCTGCTCTCGGGCCAGGCCGCGGGCACTTCGGCGCGCGCGCATACAGTAGACACAGACGACCAAAGATATAGGCATACGGCCACGAGCTGGGATAGCGAGCGTGCAAATAGAGGCATCAAACATTGCATTACCACAAATGTTCGGAGGTCCGCGCGCATTTCTTGGACCGGCGCTGGAGTCCCTGGCGGCGCATCCGGAGCCGCCCCTGGCGTGCTTCGCGCGCAAACGGAAGGGGGTCCAGCGCTGGTCCAAGAAACCGCGCGGAGATCCGAAAGTATAAGTTTACGGCGAGCCCAATAGATAAAGAATCACTGAACCAGAAATCCGGGGTCTGGAAGCTGGTGGAACTCCAATCATGGATTCGCCAGGGATGTCACTGCCGCCCTCATCAGTTAAGGAATCGCCCAAGGTCCGAAGCCTCCTGGGCACATTCCTCCACACATTCTCCGTCGCGCGTTAAGGGTCCTATAGGGTGCCCCAGAGCTTCACTGGGTGCCTGGGGCCATCGGGGGGGAAGACGTTTCCGTGGGAGCGCCTGCTCGCCTGCCGATTCCATACTCCGCGTGCAGACTGCATCCGCAACCGTGCCCTCAGCTCAGCTCAGCGCGAATGTGGAGCGCCCCAAGGCTCACACAGACGCAAGCACACAGCAGGCACGTACGATAAGAAGACATGCTGTGAGAAATCTGGGGGCACGCATTGTGGCCGAGACTCTGGCGCTTCCTGCTTCCTGAGGTGCCCCAGGGCCTCTGTGGTAGGCCCACAGGGCCCTCGGGGAGTAAGCCTTGGGCGTTCCCCAGCCTGGGGCGATCTTGAACGCGTCTTGGGCCGTCTTGGGCCAGCCCGAGAGGCCAAAACCAAAGAAACAAATCGTCCTGCGACGTGCCCAACCCTTTTGCAACAGGCGACCATAGCCGCGGGCCCGCTTTATGCGGATGGTAACTTGGCAAGGAACGAAATCTGCTGTGAAACCTACAGGGAGAGCTTACGCGTTCCACAATTCACGGGACATATTTGAATGATGAACGACCTCGGGATACGGCATGGAAAGACAACGACGGCCATGACAAGGAATGAGGCGAAATCCGCCGACCCCTTGTGGGTCCTTAGGCGTGTGAGATTGTCCCCCCCATGAGCCCCCCCACGGGGACCCCAAACCGGCAATTTGACCCCCCCCCCCCCTCCCCCTCGCCCACTTCGACCCCGGACCGAAGTCCTCCAGGGCGGTCTGGGCTGCCCAAGCTCGGCTTGGAACCTCCCTAGACACCCCCCAGACGTCCCAAGAAAGCAAAAAAACGCCGAATGATCGCTCCAAGACGCCCAAGATGGGCCCAAGACGACCCGGAAGGCCGCCAAGACGCTCCAAGAGGCCTCTAACAGGCTTGCGAAGAGAGGCCCACGGGGCCAAAATCGTTCCATTCCTATGGGGAAACGTACATGTTTGGCATGTACGCCTCTTCGGCCTTCACGGCGTTGCAAACGGCCCACGAGGCCGCTAAGACCGCCTCAAGGGGGCACTAAGAGGGTCCACGAGCTCCCAAAAGGGCCCAAGCCAGCGCCAAGACGACCCAAGAGGCGCCCAAGAAGGCCCAAGAGGGCTCGAAATCGGCACCAAGAGTGGCCCAACAGGGGGGGGGCGAACCGACATTCTGAGCCTTCCGCTCCAGGACGCTCCCAAGAGGGCCCACGAAGTCCCCAAGAAGGCCGAAGAGGCCCCGTCTGGGCTGCCCAAGCTCGGCTTGGAGCCTCCCAAGACACCCCCCAAACGGCCAAAGAGAGCAACAAAAACGCCGACTGATCGCTCCAAGACGCCCAAGATGGGCCCAACACGACCCAAGAGACCGCCAAGACGCTCCAAGAGGCCTCTAACAGGCTTGCGAAGAGAGGCCCAAGGAGCCCAAATCGTCCCATTCCTATAGGAAAACGTACATGTTTGGCATATACGCCTCTTCGGCCTTCACGGCGTTGCAAACGGCCCACGAGGCCTCTAAGACCGCCCAAGGGGGCACTAAGAGGGTCCACGAGCTCCCAAAAGGGCCCAAGCCAGCGCCAAGACAACCCAAGAGGCGCCCAAGAAGGCCCACGAGGGCTCGAAGTCGGCACCAAGGGTGGCCCAACAGGGGGGGGGGGGGGGCGAACCGAAATTCTGAGCCTTCCGCTCCAAGACGCTCCCAAGAGGGCCCACGAAGTCCCCAGGAAGCCCGAAGAGGCCCCGTCTGGGCTGCCCAAGCTCGGCCTGGAGCCTCCCAAGACACTCCCCAAACGGCCCAAGAGAGCAAAATAACGCCGAATGACCCGAATGATCGCTCCAAGACGCCCAAGATGGGCCCAACACGACCAAAGAGGCCGCCATGACGCTCCAAGAGGCCTCTAACAGGCTTGTGACGAGAGGCCCAAGGGGCCAAAATCGTCCCATGTCTATGGAGACACGTATATTTTTGGCATATGCGCCTCTTCGGCTTTCACGGCGTTGCAAACGGCCCACGAGGCCGCTAAGACCGCCTCAAGGGGGCACCAAGAGGGCCCAAGAGGCTCCCAGAAGGGCCCAAGCCAGCGCCAAGACGACCCAAGAAGCGCCCAAGAAGGCCCAAGAGGGCTCGAAGTCGGCACCAAGAGTGGCCCAACAGGGGGGGGAGGGGGGAGGAGGGGGGGCGAACCGAAATTCCGAGCCTTCCGCTCCAAGACGCCCCCAGGAGGGCCCACGAAGTCTCCAAGAAGCCCGAAAAGGCCCCCAAGAGGTCCCCAAGAGGCACCAAGAAGCTCCCAAAAGTCTCCACGGAAGCCTTAAAACGGCCGCCAAGAGGCGCCGACACTGCCTCCATGGTGCCCGCGAGCCACAAAGACGTACAAATCGTCGACATCCGTTAGGAAGCCGTACGCCTTTAGCATGACCGATTTTCGGCCAGCTCGGCGCTGATGACCGTCCAAGAGGCCCCAAAGACCGCTCCAGGACGGCCCATTAGGCTCCCACGGGGCCCCCCTGACAGCCCAAGAGCGCTCCGTGGCGGCTCACCAGGCCTTCCCAATTTCCGCCCGAAGATGCTCGCAGGAGAACCCATAATGCCCCTACGTCGTCTGTCGTCCGGAGTTCGTCGTCCGTCGTCCGTCGACCGTCGTCCGTTGCCCTTATCTTCCCCCTCCTCCGCCTCATCCCCCACAGAGGCACCAAGGATCCCCCAAGAGCCCCTGGGGAAGGGAGATAGACAAGGAAGCGATACCTGAGCGAACAAGGAATACAAGGGGTCGGCGGATGTGGCGTAAGCCTGTAGAATAAAATGAAAACACATGGTAAAGCAGAGGAAGAGCGGCGGGGACGTGACAGAAGGTAAGAGGGTGGCAGGAAGCGAATAAGAAAGTGGGGCGGGAAGGAACGCATGTAGAAAAAGGTAAGCGCAAAGGCGGCAATAAGAGGACAAAAAAAGGGCGGCCGTAAGCGGAAAGGCGGAGGACGGGCAAGGGACGAGGACCAGGAGGAGGAGGAGGAGGAGGAGGAGGAGGAGGAGGAGGAGGGAAGAGGAAGAAGAAGCAGTGAGGGTAACACCGCCGCTTGCGACACCTGCGCTGCAGCCGGGCCCCCCGGGAAGTCCACAGAAGTGGCGGCAGCCGCCTCGATGGCAGCAACCCTAGGGGGCCGCGAGGTCCGGTCTGGCCGCGGCCGCGCACGGCCTCCCGCAGAGGCAGCCCGCCGCGGCCAGGGCGCGCAGGCAGAGGGAGGGGCCGCCGAGGTCGCCCGGCTTCGCGCCCTCGCGGCCCTCGCGCCGCCCCGTCGCGGCGCGCGACCAACTTCGCGCCATCGCGCCCTCGCGCCGCCCCCTCGGGAAGGGCAGCTGCTATGGCCCAGCCCGCGACGCGCAAAGCGCGCGCCCCTGGGGGGTGATCCAGGGCCCTCCGGCACCCGAGCGAAGGAGAGGAGGGGGGGACCCTCTCAGACGAAGGAGGGATGTAAGCAGATGTGCGTTCTGCCAGCCTCGGAGGTCGCCAGCGGGCGAATGCGAGCCCCAGTGCCCGAAGGCAGCGGCGGAAAAAAACGTGCGCTGGCATCAGGGGGTGGGCTCCAGAATGAAACTGGCCCATCAGACGAAGGCAGAAGGAGGAGAAATCCGGGTGAGACTAGATCTGGAGCCGCTGAGAACTGGCGGGTCTAGAGGGTGTAACGGACGCCGCGGCCGTTTCAAAACGCTCCAGAACACTCTGAGAGCCCTCCGGACAGCCCCAGAACGCTTTGTCCTCGTCCGAGGTCTGCCCGACCCTCTCGGCCGACGCCGCGGCCTTCCCGTGACGCGCTCCACCGGGGGTCTCGATTCCCTCCCCAGGGCCAGCTCCCCAGACTGGACTGCTCTTGGACTGCACCAGGGCCGTTTAGACGCCCCCAGGGGGGCGACGAAGCACCCCCAGAAGCATGCTGCCGCGACTCTTGTCTGGCGCCGCCTGGGCCCGGGGGGAGGAGGCAGCAGAAGGCCTCCGCGCGAGGCAGGCCGCTGAGCGGGCCACGGCCGGGTGTTGCCAGAGGTGGTTCCAGGACTTCCGGGCAGGCCCCCTCGGTCTCCAGGCAGAGCACCTTGGGCCAGGGACACTCGGTGGCGACGACGGTGGCGAACAACCCAGGGGCGGGCATTGCATGTATTCGCGGGGGGACCTGGTCGAAGACATGGATCATCGGCACCCCTGAAACCATGTGAGCGACGAGCAGAGACGGGTCTTACGCGAGATGAAATAGCGACCTTGCGCGGTGGGTAACCTTGGAAAGTTACTCTCCACACTATTAGAGAGCAGAAAATCCACCCCCATAGTAAGCACCCCGACAAGCGAAGCCATTTAGTAAACGCACCCATGGAAGGAATCGAACAGGGCAGGGCTGTTTAGTAAACGCCCAGGGCTGTTTGGTAAACGCGAACTGTCGGGGTCGGGGTGCTTGTTCCACCCTAAACTATGCCAGTTGACCGTGCCGTCGCCTCCGAGGCCTTCTAGCAGCCCCCGAAGCGGCGCGCGCGCGAGCACGGCACCACGCGCGCGCTCGCCTTCTCGGCCGCCGCCGCCGCCCAGCGATCCGAGGCGGCTCCGCGCGCGCCCCGCCTGCGACGCTGGGTCGGGGCCACCGCCGCCGTCCCCACCTGGAGGGCAGAAAATCCACCCCGATCAGAACCACCCCGACACGCGAGGCCGTTTAGTAAAAGCGCCCAAAGAAGGAACCAAACAGGGCAGGGCTGTTGAATAAACGCACAGGGCCGTTCAGTAAACGCCAATTGTCTGGTCCAGGTGGTTTTTCCTCCCTTGACCACCGTCGTCGTCATCGCTGCCGTCGTCGTCGGTCGCCATCGTCGGTCGCCGTCACAAGCTACTCCAAGAGAGCGCTCTTGCGCTGGACCTCCTCGCGGTGTGTGCAGGAACCGCGCTCTCGCGTGGCGGCTCCTCGCAATTGACTCAGACGCCGCGCCCTCGAGGCGCTCGCTCTGGCCGTTTCTCAACATGTACTTGAGAATCGCGTTATCGCTCGAGACTTCCTCGCGATTCATGCAAGACTCATGCGTCAGCAACCCGCCTGCTCGACCTGGCCGCCTGGGCCCGCCGTCCAAACCCGCCCGTTAAGGCCAGTCTGGTTCTGCCACTTGTTTTCTGCTCCTTGCCCCCCTCCTGCGAATCTCTCTCGTGATGCATCCTTTTCAGTCCCCCTTGTCCCCTGTTTTAGGGGCTGCGCGGAATACACATGGCAGATCAAGAGGATAAAAACCCTAGGGGGTACGATCGAGGACAAAAACGGCGAATATCGAGGCTTCGGGATATACGTGCTAATTGGCACGCGAGCACATAAGAGCGAACAGTATGGAAATGAATGTTGAAATCGAATGCCTAGAAGTAAGTATTGTTGCTCCCCCCCGTTGCCCTATGTGTTTTTCAATCAAAGTGCTCCTCCCGGGGGTCGCATGTTGTTTTCTCAAATGGAGAATACTCCGCCTCAGATTGCGTTGTTGGCCCCAAGTTTATTACAACAGCGGCTCCCGCTTGCTACTTCCTCGCAATGTATTCAAGATCGCGCTCTCGCGCGGCACGTCCTCACAATTGATCCAGGAATCGCGCTCTCGCGTGGTTCCCACTGCAATATATTACGGCGCCATGCCCCCAACAATCAAGAATCACTCCCTCACCCTGGATGTCCCACAACTAACTTGGGAATCGCACTATTGCTTCAAACTTCCTCGCGATTCATGTTGGATGGATGCTTCAGCGAAACGCACGCTGGACCCGGCCGTCTGGGCCCGCCCGAAGTCCTGTTCATTAGGGTCCGCCCGCCCGACCCGCCCGTCTGGTTCTGCCGCTTGTACTCCTGCTCCTAACCCCCTCCTGCAAATCCCTCGCGTGTTCCATGATGTTCCCTCTCCCTTGTATATTCCCTCCCTTTCCCTGTTTCAGGGGCTGCGCCAACCAAGCGTGGCAGGTGGCAGGTAAGGAATTGATATATAAATCTATGTTCACACACACTCTCCCAAGGAAGGGGGGTAAGATCGAAGACGAAGAAGGCGGGTATCGAGGATTTGGAACTGGCGAATGACGCGCGAGCGTATGAAAGCAAACAGTTCTAGAATGCTTGTTGTTGTTATTGACGTCCTCGACCGCGGCCCGCCCGCGACCCACCCGCGACCCACCCCGCGACCCACCCCGCAACCCACCCCGCGACCCACCCGCGACCCACCCGCGACCCACCCCGCGCCCGCCCCCTCACTCTTATCCGCAACTGCGGGGTGATACGTACGAAATTGCGTATATAGTTGTTGAATATGTGTATACATATATACACACATCGACATCGGCATATACAGAATGTGTATGTATGTATGTATGTATGTATGTATGTATGTATGTATACATATACATATACATATACATATACATATACATATACATATACATATACATATACATATACATATACATATACATATACATATATATACACACATATATACATATATATATAGAGAGAGAGGGAGAGAAAGAAAGAGAGAGATCGGAGGTGAAGGGGTGAGATCGAAGTGGAACGGATAGCCCCCCTACCGAGAAAAAAAACGGATTCGGTGTCGTGTTCGTGCGTGCCGTGCGTGCGGGCGAGGCGAAGCTGCGTTGCCCGGGCGAGAAGGGTCCCGCCTCTGGCTGAAGCGCGGCCGGACCAAATGTTTCCTGTCCGGGGGCCGGTGCCGCGCGGTGTCCCGCCGGTGTCCCGCCGGTGTCCCGTCAGTGTCCCGATGAGGATGATGATGATGATGACGATGACGAGGAGGATGTTGTTGATGATGATGATGATGATGATGGCCATGGTGGTGATGACGATAGTGTCCCGATGATGGTGATGTTGATGATGCTGATGTTGTTGATGGTTATGGTGTCCCGATGCGGATGATGATGATGGTGATGCGAATGATCCTGATGATGTTGATAATGATGATCTGATGATATGATGAGGAAGATGATGATGATGATGATAATGATGGTGACTCGATGATGATGATGATGAGGTTGATAATGAGGCTGCTGATGGTGATGATGGTGATGATGATGGTGCCCCGATGATGGTGAGGTTGATGATGATGACGATGGTCCCGATGATGATGTTGGTGATGAACGTGATGATGAGGTCGTGATGATGATTTTGATGATGGTAACCCGGCGATGATGATGCTGATGTTGATGGTGATGATGATGATGGTGTCCCGATGCTGATGATGGTGATGGCGATGATGGTGACGATGACGATGGTGTCCCAATGATGATGATGTTGCTGATGTTGCTGATGATGATGGTGTCCGAATGGTGATAATGTTGATGATGCTGATCATGATGACGATGGCGACGGTGACGATGGTGGTGTTCCGAGGATGATGATGATGATGATGACGGTGTCCCGATGCTGATGATGTTGGTACTGATGGTGACGACGATGGTATCCCAATGCTCATGATGGTGATGATGATGCTGACGATGATGGCCATGGTAGTGATGATGGTGGTGTCCCGATGATGCTGGTGATGATGATGTTAATGATGCTGATGTTGCTGATGACGATGATGGTGTCCCGATGATGATGACGATGCTGATGATCCCGATGAAGTTGATGATACTGTGATGATGGGATGGTTATGACGAAGATGATGATGATGGTGCCCCGATGATGATGAGGTTGATGATGATGAGGTTGCTGATGATGATGTTGATGATGATGGTGTTCCGATGATGATGTTGTTGATGGTGGTGATGATGATGATGACGACGATGGTGTCCCGATGATGATGATGATGATGTTGGTGGTGAGGACGATGAAGAGTAATGATAACGGTTTTGATGATGGTGGCCCGGTGATGATGATGCTGCTGTTGATGATGATGGTGTTCCGATGATGATGATGATGCTGGTGATGAAATGATGATGATGATGGTGACGATGGTGATGGTGTCCCGATGATGGTGATGTTGGTAATGCTGCTGCTGATGATGTTGATGTTGGTGTCCAGATGATGTTGATGATGTTGTTCATGATGATGATGTGATGCTGAAGATGATGGGTGTTCCGATGATGATGATGCTGGTGGTGACGAGGATGATGGTCACGGGGATCATGGTGCCCCGATGATGGTGATATTGGTGTTGATGTTGCTGATGATGTTGATGATGGTGCCCCGATGATGATGTTGATGATGTTGTTCATGATGACCATGAGATGATGATGCTGATGATGCCGACGATGGTCTCCACATGATGATGATGTTGGTGATGATGATGCTGAGGTGACGCTACTGTTGCTGACGATCATATTGATGATGCTGGTGTTCCAGTGATGATGCTGTTGCTGATGGTGGTGAGGATGGTAATGACGACGATGGTGTCCCGATGGTGATGATGATGACGTTGGTGATGAGGACGATGATGAGGTGATGATGATGATTTTGAAAATAGTGGCCCGAAAATGATGATGATGATGCTGAGGTTGATGCTGATGGTGTCCCGATGATGATGCTGGTGATGATGATGATGGTGACGATGATGATGGTGTCCTGATGATAATGATGAAGGTGATGATGTTGCTGATGATGTTGACGATGGTGCCCCGATGATGATGTTGACGATTTGTTCATGACGGTGATGAGATGCTGATGATGATGGTGGTGTTCCGATGATGATGATCATGGTGTCCCGATGTTGTTAATGTTGAAGATGAAGGTGGTGACGATGATGAAGTCCCGATGATGACGATGATGATGGCGATGGTGATGATGATGTTGATGATGATGGCGAAGAGGTGATGCCGATGATGATGGTATCCCGATGATGGTGATGTTGACGACGCTGATGACGATGATGTTGATGATAATGAGGATGACGTTGATTGTGAGATCGGTTGTGATATCGATAGTGACATCGAAAAAGAGACTGAATGTGCGATATATTGTGAAATCGATAGTGAGATCGGTTGTGAGATCGATTGTGAGATCGATCGTCAGATCGATTGTGAGATCGATCGAATGAAGTAGATCGAGTGAGATCGATCGCGAGATCGATCGAGTGAGATCGATCGAGCGAGACCGATAGTGAGATAGGTAGTGAGATCGATAGTGAGACCGATCGAGCGAGACGCTGCCCCCCCCCCCCCCCCCCAAAAAAAAAAACTCCCCATCGCCCGACGGGCAGTCGTATAAGTATATATGTAGAGAGAGGAGAGAGAGAGAGAGAGAGAGAGAGAGAGAGAGAGAGAGAGAGGGAGAGCGAGAGAGAGAGAGAAAGAGAGAGAGAGAAAGAAAGAGAGAGCGAGAGAGCGAGAGAGCGAGAGAGAGCGAGAGAGCGAGAGAGCGAGAGAGCGAGAGCGAGAGCGAGAGAGAGAGCGAGAGAGAGAACAACAACAAAAACACACACACACAAAAGAGGGGGTAAAAAATGGGAGAGAGAGAGAGAGGGAAAAAAGAAAGAATAAAAAGAAAAAAAAAAAACAAAAAAAAACAAAAAAAAAAAAAAAAAAAAAAAAAAAAAAAAAAAAATGACCCCCCCCCCAAAAAAAAAAAAAAAAAAAAAACGAGAGAGCGAGAGCGAGAGCGAGAGAGCGAGAGCGAGCGAGAGAGCGAGAGAGCGAGAGCGAGAGAGCGAGAGAGCGAGAGAGCGAGAGAGCGAGAGAGCGAGAGAGCGAGAGAGCGAGAGAGCGAGAGAGCGAGAGAGCGAGAGAGCGAGAGGGCGAGAGAGCGAGAGAGCGAGAGAGCGAGAGAGCGAGAGAGAGCGAGAGAGCGAGAGAGCGAGAGAGCGAGAGAGCGAGAGAGCGAGAGAGCGAGAGAGCGAGAGAGCGAGAGAGCGAGAGAGCGAGAGAGCGAGAGAGCGAGAGAGCGAGAGAGCGAGAGAGCGAAAGAGAGAGAGCGAGAGAGCGAGAGAGCGAGAGAGAGAGAGAGAGAGAGAGAGAGAGAGAGAGAGAGAGAGAGAGAGAGAGAGAGAGAGAGAGAGAGAGAGAGAGAGAGAGAGAGAGAGAGAGAGAGAGAGAGAGAGAGAGAGAGAGCCCGCCACGGTGCCGGCGGGCACGGAGCGGGCGTGTCCTCACGTCCTGGACCCAATCCTCTAAGCCTCCATCCTCGCTCCCGAGGAGTCTTTCAGGGGCCCCGACCTCTCGCTCTGAAATCCCCCGGGGCTCGGCGCGCGCCCCCCGGGGCTTCCCGCGCGCCCCCTGGGCGCTGCCAAGTGGTGGCGCGAGAATTTCTAGGGCCCAGGAGGGCCCCACGACAGACCCAGAGGGCCCCAAACGGCCTGCAAGACGGCCCAAGGGGACCCCCAGACGCCAACAGATCGGCCAAAGACGCCTCAAGATGGCCCAAGGCCTCGAAGACGCCCGAGGAGGCCTCCAGGAGGCCTCCAGAGGCCTCCCAAGAGGGCCTCAAGAAGCAAAAACAAATGATCACCCGTCGGTTTTTGAATGATATTAGCGCGCTCGCCTGCCCGGCTTTCTGACGCTCCACGACGGCCCGAGAGGCCCCCAAAGACCACCCCAAGACGGGCCAAGAGGTCTCCGGGAGGGCTCCAAGACGGCCTGAGAGCGCCCCATGGCGGCCCAAGAAGTGCCCAAGACGGCCCGAGAGGGCCCCCGGGAGGCCCCCAAGAAGCTTAAACGATACCCCAAGAGGCCCCCGAACGGCCCCCAAGGCCCCCGAACTGCCCCCAAGAGGCCCTCGATAGGGCCCCCACGAGGTCCCAACGAACATCCAATCGGCTTCGCACCCGCAAGCCAGGCACGACGGCGGGATGGGCCGAAAGCCATTAGACCTGGCCCGGCACATAAACGGAAAGAGCGCTGCAGCAACAGAAACCGAAATTACTCGCACCACCGTTCGCACCGGGAGCCTCGGCGTTGAGAGCTGGTTGCGTCGCCCCTCGCTCGCGGGAACCTCGGGGTTCAGAGATGGTTGCGTTGCCGCCCGTTCCTGAGCCTTGGCTGGGCCTCGCCGTCAGAAACTCGTTACGCCACCGCTCTCTGCCGTGAGCCTTGACCTCATCAGCTCGCGCGCGTCTCCGCTCGCTCTGGGGGGCCTTGGTGCGGAGAGCCTTTTTTGTGACCGATCACTCTTGGCGTCTCTGAGCCTTCGTGGGAGTCCTATTGGGGCCCTTTTCGGGCCCTCCTGGTGGCCTCTTGGGAGCCTCTTGGGGGCTCTCGGGGCTTCTTGGGGGTCTGTGGGGGCCTCCTGGGAGCGTCTCGGGACGAAAGGCTAAACTTTCGGGTTCGTGGCCCCCCTCTTGGGGCCGTCTTGGGGCCCTCTTGGGCCGTCTTGGGCGCCTCTTGGGCCGTCTTGGCGCCCTCCTGGGCCGTTTTGGGGGCCTCTTGGGAACCTATTGGGCTGTCTTGGGGCGGTCTGGGGGGCCTCTTGGACCGTCGCCAACGCCTTGAAAGCCGAAAAGCCGTGCATGCTAAAAATATACGTTTTCCAATACGAAATCAATGATTTTGGCCTCCTGGTGGCCTCGTGGGACGCCTCTTGAAGGCCTCTTGGGGCTTCTTGGGGGGCTGCGGGGGCCTCCCGGGAGCGTCTCTGGGCGAATAGCTAAACTCGTCGGTTCGGGGCCCCCCTCATGGGGTCGTCTCGGGGCCCTCTTGGGCCGTCTTGGGCGCCTCTTGGGCCGTCTGGGGGCCCTCTTGGGCCGGTTTGGGGGCCTCTTGGGAGCCTCTTGGGCCGTCTTGGGGCGGTCTTGGGGGGGGCCTCTCGGGCCGTCGCCCACGCCGTGGAAGCCGAAAAGCCGCATGTGCTAAACATGCACGCTTTCCTTTGGAAATCAATGATTTTGGCCCCCAGGCGGGGGGGGCGGCCCCCATCGCACGGGCCACCACCTCAGGGGGCCGACCCCCCAGCGGCTCGACCACGACCATGGCAAAGTTGAGCTGCAGGCCCGATGCGAGCGCGAAGTGGCCGAAGAGCGGCACGACCGTCGGCAGCGCTTCCATGGGCTTGGGAAAGACCGCCGCCAGGTCGCCCGCGTAGGCCCGAATCGTCGCTGCCCGAACCCCCCGACGGATTCTCCTGAGCAGCGAGCCCACAACGACAGCGAAGAGCAACGGGGATAACGGGCATCCCTGCGGGATACCCGCTTCACTGCAAAAACCCTCGCGCGCGCGGCCCCCAGCCGACAGCCGGCAAAAGCGGCCCCAATATAAAGACCCCACGAATCTGCAAACCGACTACGGCGGGCCCAGGCCCCTGAGCGACTTCAGCATGTAGGCACGCGACAGGGGGGGGAAGGCAGCCTGAAGGCCGAAGAAGACGGCGGCTGGCTCGGTCTCCTTCGCCGCGACCCCCCTCATAGCAGCGCCGCGTCGACGACGTTCTTGAGCAAGGGGCGGCCAGGCAGGAAGCCCTGCTGCATCGTAGAGATCGCCTGCGCGAGGATGGGCTCGACCCCCAGCCTCGTCGCATTCGCCGGCAACCGATTATCGGCGCTCACAATGCTCAACGGGCGCACGCCCCCAGCTCTCGTGTATTCCACCCCAGCCACCGACGTCATAGGGTCTTTCTTGGGAAGGAAGACCACGATGGCCTCGTTGAAGCTCAGCGTTCCCGTTTTTGGTCGCGGCCCCGAGCAGCGCGCTCACCGCCAGCCCCCCCAGCCGAGGACACGCCGCATAGGGGGTGCCATCTGGGCCAGGGTTCGAGTAGGAGGACCTCTCGATGGCATCCTTAACGTCGTCCTTCGCGATCCCCCAAATCATCTCGTCCCCCAGCAGGGGCCGCAAAGACGCCGTCAAACCATCCGGGGCCTCAGCATCCCGCCGATTCCAGTCGTCGATGTCACCTGTGCAAAGCTGCTCTGCGGAGAACACCTCGCCCCAGTGGCTCCTGAGGATCCGCGCCACTTCGCCGGGGCCCACCTGCGCGGGCCCATCCGCGCCCCCGAGCGCCATGGCGGCCGCCGCGCGCCCTGGAGCGAGCTCGCGGATCTTCTGCAAGATCCAACTCCGCCTTCTGCGCGCCACCTCGGGGTCAAGGTTGGGCAACTCAGCGCGGCGCCCCTCCTGGTCTGCCCGAGCTGCTTGCCTGGCGAGGTCCACCGCGATGCCGCGCAAGATGGAAGCAGCCGCATCAGGATTGTCGTCGACCATATTACGTTCGAGCGCGCTCCTGACCCCAGCACTGCGCTTCGCGAAATGCGGGGCCCACAACCACCCTAACCGCTCCAATCGCCGCAGCGCACCCATGACAATACCAAGCTCATCGCAGGCAGGCGGCGGGGCGGGGCGAAGACGAGATTAGGATTCGGTCCACGTGCGCTCCGAAACCGCGCGGATAGCGCCCCCGAGCAGCTCGAGGAGGTCCAAGGTGGTCAGCTCCTGGACGGCGAAACGCAGCCCGCGGTGGAAGTCGGCGGAAACCCGCATAGGCCACTCCTCCATCCTGATCACCTCCTCGGGAATGGGGGCGCTCTCCACGGGCCGCCGCGGCGTCGCTAAGCTGCCGAGCGCGAGCGGCCCGTGGTGGGGGGGGCGCGGGCGCCGCTCCAGCGGCGCGGCGAACGTGATGCGATCCAGCTGTTCGACCAGGTGCTGCGTCGCGCATGCCCGATCCAAACGCGCCCTAGAGATCGGGCCATCGCGCGCGGCATCTGGCTGCCAGAGCTCGCGCAGGGGGGACTCGTCATCGAACAAGCGCCGCCAGTTCCGCATCTCCGCCGCGTCGGTCGCCGGTGAAGGAGCCGCTCTCCTTGTTCGGGCGATCCTCTCGCGTCGGCGCAAAATTGAAGTCGCCTGCGATGACCGACAACACCGATGAGGGCCTCAAGCGACCCTTGAGCTTGCCCGCCAGGGACTCGCGCTGCCGCTTCACCGACGCGCCCTCCGCTGCCCGGGCCTTCTCGCTGCTCGGCTCGCTGCGCAGAGCCCTGCGCCGACCTGTGGGGATGTGCGCCGAGCACAAGTCCAAGTCGCCATCAGGCCCCCGCAGCGAAAGCCTTCCCAGCCCACCGAACTCCAGCTCCTCTCAAACGGGCTCGGCCAGGTTGAACCGTTTCAAGAACTCAAGCTTCGCGGTTATGCCAATGCCACCCCGGGCCGCGGCGCCCGGGGGCCAAAAAGCTTTCGCGCCCCGCATCTGCGCGAAGGCCTCCTGACCCCCGATAGCCCCATGAGTCCCCGAGAGCAAGACGAAACCCGCGTGCTTGAGTAATTTCTTTGCGAACGAACGCTTCAGCGCGCGGGCGCGCGCGCGGGGCAAAGAGGCCCTGCGGCTCATCGGGCGGCCCTGGACGCATGGCCCCCCTCATCCTCGGAGCGGGCCTCGCAGGGGGCAGAGGGGCATCCGCCGCAGGCGGCGGCAGATGGGATCGCGCCTCGTCGAGCGCCACCCGCCGCGCCCTGAGGTCGAGGCAGATCGTGCACAACGCGTCGGGGGCAGGCGCATCTGAAGTCGCAGTCCAGGGGGGGGCAAGGGCAGGCGCCATCTGCGCGATGCCCGTCAGAGGTGGCGAAGTAGACGCGGAGGACGGCGATAATGGATGCAGCGCGAATGAGAGAGCGCCGCCATCTCAGCTGGCGGCGCACGCAAGGTAGAAACGAAGCCAGAAAAGACATATGAAGAGAAGGATGTCGTGAACGAAGATGCCCACGCAAAGCCCCGATCTCATGTGGGGCTGAATTGCTGCGCAGAGGCCCCTCCGAGGGGCCCTCGCCGCTCCGCCGCGGGGCCAAGCAGTCGAGGGGCCGGGGGGCGCGCCGGCACGGCGGCCCCCCCGACGGCCGTTTTTTGCCGCTTCTCTCTGCTCTCCGTCCTCCGTCGCCGCAACGGTGAAGACGTGGCCCCCGATGGCAAACGCCTTCTCATGGACCAGGGCCGCAACTTGCTGGACCTGCGCCGCATCCCCCACCGACAAACACACGCGGCCGCCCACGTCGTCCTGCAGGTTGCGGGGGGCCGCCCACTGCCCTGGCTTCAGCGGCACGTCGTCCGGGGCCAGGTTGAAGCTGAGCCCCTTCGCCGCGAGGTGGTCCAGGATGCCCTTCACCACCGCCGCCCCGTCGAAGCCCACCGGGCCGCTGGCTTGCACTTGGACCCTCCCGGGCACCGTCGCTCCCACCTGGGAGCTGTCCCTGGCCGCCTCCAGTGCGCAGGCGTCCAACTGCCTTCTCGTAGCAGCGAGCTGGGCAATGACCCGCCCCCCCCAATCTTGATGTGCGCCTGCGTGCGCGGAGGCAGCAGCAGGAGGGGTCCGTTTCGAAAATCTCTTCGGTTTTCCTCTCCCCTCCGGCCTTGCCAACGATCTCACCGTCAGCCGCTTCGGCCCCACGAGCGCCACCTCCTCGCACATCGGAACCACGAGAGGTGCCGCAAACGGGGATGAAACCTCCACGATCGGCGCCGCCTGGTCTCCATAGATGTCATCCAAGGCCACGAGGACGTTGGGGGAAAGCCCGCTCGAACGGAGATGGTGCACCACTGCTCGTAGCTCCAATGAAGCCACCGTGTTCGTCGGAAAATACCCACGCAGGAGCAATCGCTTGGCGTCCCGCGAAGATCCCAGGCTGATGGCGGGGTCCGTCCAGCGGATGTTCAGGTGGCCGATCGAATGCTGCTTGGAGCGCGCGTCTTTATGTTCGGCGATGACGGGCGTCATGGGGGGGGGGGGCGGGGGAAGGGCATGACCTGACGCCCCCCCCCCGCCGCGCGGCTCCGGCACCACAGCCGCGCCCGCGCGCACGACGCAACGAGCGACGAGCGACGAGCGACGACGACGACGCGAGCAGCATGTAGGTGGCGATCTGCCCATTGCGCCTGTGCACACCACAACGCTCGCGTGCACCACACCACGCGTGTGCACCACAACTCCTGCGTACACCACAACAGCCGTGTGCAACGCACCGCCCGCGTATACCACAATACTTGGGAGCACTACAGCGCCGGTGTACATACACCGCAGCAGCCATGTGCAACACAACGCCTGTGTACACCACAGTGCTTGCGTGCACCGCAGCGCCTGTGCACGCCACAGCGCCTGTCTACACCACAGCATCCGCGTACAACGCAGCGCCGGTGTACACCACAGTGCCTGCGTGCATAGGACAGGTAGAAGGAGCATGTACGTCAGGATCTGCTGCGAACAACTAGACGCCACGCCAGGAAAGTTCTGATAATCGAATGCAACGTTTTTCCCTCCTCCTTCCTCCTCCACCTCCTCCTCCTTCTCCTCCTCCTCCTCCTCCACCTCCTCCTCCTCCTCCTCCTCCTCCTCCTCCTCCCCCTCCTCCTCTTTTTCCTCCTTTTTACCCCCTGTCGTGCGGCTTGGCGTTGCAGCGCACGTGCGCATCTCAGCGTGCACCGCAGAATGGTCGATTGAATCGGTCCACTTGGTTCTCGAACGGCCAGTTTAGCTGGAGCCTCCTGGACGCAAATGGGAACTAGGGTGATGCGGGCGGATTCGGGGGCACTCGTAGATTCCAGTGGCGCTCCTTTGTCCATAAGGATTTGTTTTCCATTGTTTTCTCTGGAATCCACACGCGTTCCGTTTTGTCACACGGATTCCTTATGAAATTCTATACACAACACTGGTGTTGTGTTGCACACGGCTGATGTGGTGCACATAGGCGCCGTGGCGTACACAGGCACTGCAATTCACGCAGGCATTGTGGTGTACACTGGTGTTGTGTTGCGCACGGTTGATGTGGTGTACGGAGGCGCTGTGGTGTACGCAGGAGCTGCTGTGCCCGCAGGCCAGACGCCGCCGGCGCGAAACGTGACGTCATCGACCCCCTCCCCCCCCAGATGATTGCCGTCATCGGCCCCGACTTCAAAACAGGCTCCAGCCGCGTCCGCGCGCACGACGACGATGAGCGACGAACGACGAACCACGAGCGACGACGACGGATGACGACGACGACGACGACGACGACGACGACGACGACGACGACGACGACGACGACGCCTGCGGACCAGACACCATGCGGATTCCCACTCGGACGCCTACGCGGATCCCAATGCGCACGGCGGCAGTGCCCGGAGCGCACTGGGGGGGGAGCGTTACGTCATAGGGGGGGGAGGGAGCGGGGGCCATGACGCCCGTCATGCCCCAAGCAATACAGAAACGGGTTCTTGATCAGGTCCTCAAGCGTGCAGTCTACTAGGAGGCACCGGCCCCTCCCCAGATCAAACATCAAGCCCGCCGTGAAGAGCGCAGTGGGCACTGCCACCGTGGAGATCGGGGCCAGCGTGGCGAGCATCAACGTCCGCAGCCCCTGCAATGGGGTGCACGGGCCGCCCCATACTACCTCCAACGGTCTGTCGGAGACCTCCACAGCCCGCACGATCGAGGCCCATTTACTGCTGAGCAGCGGGCGCGGCCAGAGATCCGCCAGCGCCGCCACGTCGGAACAGCCAGGGGGGGCGTCCAGCACGCTGATGAGGCGCAGCGTGATCGGGCTCGGCGCGGCCACGGCGTGCTTAGTGTACGAGGCCACGAACCTGCCCACAGTGGCCGCATACTGGGGGCACCAAATGGTGGCAGCTGACACCCCCTGCCCCGCAAGCGCCATCGGGCCCTGTGCGTAAAGCTGCTCCACCCGGTGGCGGGCCACATGCGGCTGCGCAAATCTCGGCGGGAGCGAGGCTGCCACCCCCTCGAGGTCGGAGAGCTGCGCGAGGATCTCCTCCTGGTCCCCCAGCGGGTTGTTCATCAGGAGCTGGCGGGCCCCACTTCCAAGCTCGGCCCACCGCGGCACCTGCCCGCGACCCTGCGGCAGGCGCTGGCGGGAGAAGCTGGGTAAATCCTGCTGGCGCATCTCCCTCGCCGCCTCCAGGGTTTTGAGCGCATTCTTCGCGGCCTCCTTGTCCGCCTGCGGCCAGGCTGGGAGCTCCGCCGCCGAAAGGAGCAGGCTAGCCACATCGAAGCGCTGTTCGATCAGCGTCGCGGACGGGAGGTGGCCCTCCATCGGTGTCAGCCCGAGCTGCGCCCATGCAGCCCGAGCCTCAAGCCTGAATGCGAGACCATGCAGCGCTGCCTTAAGCTCGCCCAGCCAGAGAGCGGGTTGCGCGGGATTAACCCGACGACCTTGGAGTCCACCGCCACCGCGGCCGGCACAATGCTGAATTGCTCCAACACCGCTGACTCCACCAGGTCGGCCACCGCCGTCGCAGGTAGCCAAATCGCCGCTTGAGGTCGCTGTAGGTCTCCGGCCAGTTGCAAGGAGCCATGGGCCTGGGTGAAGGCCGTCCCCCCACTGTCGTCGTTCATGTCGTCGTCCTCGTCGAGGTCGTTCATGCCCCTCACGTCGCGGGTAAGTGCCGGCATGCCCTGCGTGGTGCAGGAGCCGTTGGCCTTGACGTCCACGCTGGCAGCGGCAAGCGTGGCGGCCGCAGACGAGGCATCCCCGAGCCCTTGAGTCAGGCCCGTGACGCCCTCCCGGTGCCCCGGAGGAGGCAGTCCTGGCGGCCGGGGAGCAGTCGCCGTCGCCTCGCCCTCAACATACGCCCCCGGAGGGGTACCGCCGGCCGCAGCTGTGGCAGGGGCCGCTGCTGAGCCATGGCCGGGCAGCCACAGGCCGCAGCGCCGGCAGCGGCCCCGCTCGTCGGCCGCTGCGGGGAACGCGCCGTAGAGCGGGCAGGCCGCATGGGAGCACGTTATGGCTGTGATTGCGCAAGCAGGAACCGGAGATGTCTCGGTTTACCCGCTATCGCAAGCACGGGACCTGTTTTCCGAGCCCGTCCGGCCGCGGCTGCGAGAGGGGGGGGAGCCAGCAGGGCGGCTCGATCCTCCCTTGAGCCATGGACCCTCTCTTGAGCCATCATCATCATCATCATCATCATCATCATCATCATCATCATCATCATCATCATCATCATCATCATCATCATCATCATCAGCATCATCATCATCATCATCATCATCATCATCATCATCATCATCATCATCATCATCATCATCATCATCATCATCATCATCATCATCATCATAATCATCATCATTATCATCATCATCATCATCATCATCATCATCATCATCATCGTCATCATCAGCATCATCAGCATCACCATCAGTATCATCGCCATCACCATCATCATCATCCACATCATCATCATCATCATCATCATCATCATCATCATCATCATCATCAACATCGCGGTCGCCATCATTTTCGCCACCATCGTCGTCATCAGCGTCGGGATCGCACTCGTCGTACCGAGCTCCTCTTCCCCCTCACTTATCATCTATATATTATATATATATATATATATATATATATATTATATATATATATATATATATATAAATATATATACATAAATATAGGGATATATCAATTCCGTATATTCCTCCCTTTCCTCCTCATTATCATCCCCCTCCTGAGGGTAGAGAGGTACTGGGATCCAGCGCGAAAAAACACTATGAAGCCTTGCAATGCCCCGCCGCCCCCAGCCTAAGTTTGCACGGCCCTGCTGAAAGAGGATAAGAAGATGAGGAGTCGCGATGGAAAGCGGGGAGCAGATGAGGGGGAGGACGGGAGAATACAACATGTAAAGCATCGAACCCAAGGCAAATAGTATGAAATTGTATGATCACAGGGGGAAGCTGGGCAAGCATGTATAGTTAAACACACACCCTTGCTATTACAATGTACAACTGTATGTGTGCGATTCGACGAATATGATTTCCATAGATGCTTGACTGACTTGGCCCCTTGGAGGTCCTCTGTGGGTACACTGGCGGCCTCTCGGGACCGTCTTGGGGCCGTTTTGCCACGCTGGGAGCCTCCTGTGAGAGCCCGGGGGCCAAGTGGGAACGTCTTGGGCCCTTCCAGGAGTCCCCCGGGGAAGCCCGCGGGTAGTCCATAGAGAGGCTCTGGAAAGGGAGGGACTCCTAGTAGGCTGGGGTTCCAGAGCCCCTGGTCCGGGTTTCCAATAGATAAGAAACATACTAGAGAACGTTTTCTGTTATTCGCGGTAACTGCTGTTACCAGCCCCGGCCACCCCCCTCTCCCCCCTAGGTAACGTCACGAGTCTTGCTGGCTTCCGAAGTGTCTTTGGGTATTCCTGGAGACGTTCCCAGGCCGCGCTGGCGCGAAACCTGGTTTTACCTGTTCCCTCTCCTCCCCTCCCCGCCCCTGGTAACGCCCGCCATCTCCCAGGGTAAAAAAAAAAAAGACTCTCCGAGTAACGGAATATTGTCTCAACGCCGGTGTTGTTCGCAAGGGCGAGGGCGGGGAACGCGAGGAGTTTGGGCCCCTGCTGGGGTCCAGATGTGGCCCAAACTAACGCGCTCCCCCAAAACGCCGACCACGGCATCCCCTTTGCGAGTTCAATCGGTCGAAAGTTCGGGGCCCGCGCCAATATCTCTACCTGCCAGCACAGCGAAACCCTAGACCAAGAGGGATGCGGGTCATGGCAAGACCACTGGGCGCCGAACCATGCAAGCCGCCAGAGCCGGGCCGACCCGCGAGGTGGCGAAAGCGCAGCGCATCGCGCGGCGCCATTGCGCCATTGCGAGGGCAGAGAGTAAGTGTGGACGAGAGGGGGGGTCGGGTGCTCCCCGGGAGCGTCCAAGAGAGGGGGCGTCCAAGAGGGGTGGGGTCGCAAAGCAGGGCTCGAGGCACGTGCACGGCCCAAAAGGGGGGGGGGGGGGGGGGGGGGGGGGGGGGGGGGGGGGGGGGGGGGGGGGGGCAATACACGCATTCGAGAAAGACGGGGGGGCCATAACATCCGGGAAGATATGTCGCTGCGCCACTTGTCCTCGACGCGCCTAAATGGACGACGCCGACACCACGGCAAACCCACAGCAAACCCTGCGCCCCGCGCCCCAGCGAGACGACGCTGGCGCCGCGGCAACTCCACGGCGAACCCACCGCGCCAGGGGCGGTGTTTGCCCTGGTGCCCGCGGCACCCTCCCCAAGGCCCCAAGGCGGAAGGCCGCGCGTCGGAATGAACGGCGCGGCGACGTATCCTGGGCACGGCCACGACATCCATCCCCCCGGGCCGCCCCCGAGCTTCGGGGTGCTTTGTGGGTTCCGCGGGGGCCCAAAGGCCTCGAGATATCGATATCGATATCGCGGGCCTCGGAGGTCGAGGGTCGGGCGCCCGCCCAGCCCCCTCCTCAGTGGAGGGGCACGACCTTGCCGAAGGGCCTCACGACGTCGAACGCCTCCTCGCCCTCGAGCTCCCCGGGTTTGGGGAGGGCCGGAAAAGGACGAGAAGCAAGAGGAGGACGGAAGAGGATAAAGAGCAGGAGCAGGAGCAGGAGGTGGAGGGGGGAAGGAGGAAGCTCCTGGATGCCCCCAATAGCTCACCACGAGGACCCTGAGAGGTCCGAGTGCTCCGAATGACTTCCGCGATCGTTCACTACTCTCTGTTTCTTCTGGCGGTCGGAGGAATGGCGCAAGCCACATGAATAAGAGGCGGAGGAGGGAGGGAGGAAGGCCAGAGGAACGAGGAGGAACGAGGAGGAACGAGGAGGAACGAGGAGGAACGAGGAGGAACGAGGACGAGGCGGAGAAGGAGGAGGAGGAAACGAGGACGGCATCGAGGCAGGGGAGGCCAGGGGAAGGAGCCCGCGCGAGAGATCGAGAGATCCGCCGCGAGAACCACTCACAGAGCTGCCGGCGTACAGCGGGGGCTCACTATGTTGACTGGCGGCGCGCGCATGGGGGTGGCGCAAGGGAGGTGGGCCTTCTGGGACGCGGGGGGCGTCGTACCCGAAGCCCCTTGCGTCGTGAAAACATCACGGCGGACAAGTTTCTCCAATTTTCTGCCCCTCGGGGTCCCCGCCCGGCCACAGAACCGTGAAAAAGCGAATCGGGATGAAAAACCCGTCCCAGGGAATGGGTTGAGACCTCCGGGTGTCGACGTGGCAGCAGAAGGATGGCGTCGGGGGTCTGGGAAGAGGGCAGGGCCACTGGGGCCGTAGCTGAGCTCCTTGTGGAGCCGTGATCCTCGTGGGTGGTGCCTGGAATGGGCGGCGCCGCCATGCGAACCCTGCCACTCGGTCGTAGATGGAGGTCCCTATGGGGCCACGATCATCCTGAGGAGGTGCGCCTGAAAGGAAGGCACCGCCATGCGGACGCTCACACTGGGGCCGTACGTTGAGCTCACTATGAGGCCACGACCCACCTGAGGTGGTGCGCCGAAAATGACGGCGCCGCCATAAGAACGCTCACACTGGGGCCGCCCATGAGGGGTACGCTCCAATGGGCGGCGCTGACATACGGACTCTGCCACAGGGGCCGTAGGTGGAGCTCCCTTTGGAGCCACGATCCTTGTGAGAGGGTGCTCCAAAACGGGCGGTGCCATTATGAGGACCCTGCCACTCGGGCAGTCTGTGGACCCCCCTATGGGGCAACGATCCTCGTGAGAGGTATGCCGAAATGGGCGGCGCCGCCATGCCGACCCTGCAACTGGGGCCGAAGGCGGAGCTCCCTGTCAGGCCACGGTCCTCACAAGGGTGCGCTGACAAGAACGGCACCGACATGCGGACCCTGCCTCCGGGACTGTACGCGAAGCTCTCTATGGGCCACGATTCTCTTGAGGGGTGCGCCGAAATGGTGGCGGTGGCGGCAGCGTCGGCACCAACCGAGACCGCAGGTGGAGCTTCCAATGGAGCCGTGCTCCTCGGGAAGGGTGCGCCGAATGGGGGCGGTGGCGCCACGCGTCAGCGCCCACTGAGACCGTAGGCGGAGCTCCCAGAGGGTCACGAAACGTGTGAGGTGTGTGCCGAAGCGGGGGCGGTGGCGGCAGACGTCGGCGCCCACTGAGACCGTCGGTGGAGCTCCTGTGGGGCCACGATCCTCTTGACGGGTGTGCCGAACGGGGCTGTGGCGAAATGCGTCACCGCACAATGAAACCCCAGATGGAGCTCCACGGGGGACCATGATTCTCGTGAGGGGTGTGCCGACATGGGGGCGCCTGTGCAATGCGTCGGTGTTCGCTGAGACCGCACGTGGAGATCCCGAATGGGCACGACACGTGTGCGGGGTGTGCCGAAATGGGGGCAGCGGTGCCATAAAGCGGCGCCCACTGAGAGCGTAGGAGGAGCTCCTCAAGGGGCATGGAGCGTGCGAGGGGATTGCCGAAACGGAGGCAGCAGCGCCAAACATCGGAGCCCGCTGAGACCGCTGATGGAGCTCCCTGACGGGCACGAAACGTCTGAGGGGCAGACAGACATGGGGCGGCGGTGCCGTACGTTGGCGCTCAATGAGTATGTATGCGGAGCTCCCTAAGGGACGCGAAACGTGTGCCGACGTGGGCATGCGGCAGGGAGGGGAGGGAGCGGGAGGAGGAGTGAGATTGGGCGCGGCGCGCTGATTCAAAACGGGGGACCACCTCAACACAGGATGGTTGGGAAAAAGATCGTCAACAGAACAATGCGACCGCAGCCTTCGGCCCCGTCTCCACGCAAGCCTTTTGAGCCGAATAGATCCGCGAGGGCCCGCAAGGCCCGTAGCGGAGCAGAACACCCGTCGTCCTGTCTGCCCACGGCGCCCGGGATGGGAGGGGAGGCGCACAGCAGCAGCGGCACCTGGAGCAGCCGCTACGAGCAGCGGCAGCAGCAGCAGCCGCGGCAGCAGCAGTGGCGGCGGCAGCAGCAGCAGCAGCGGAACCATCAGCGGCAGCAACGGCAGCCGCGGCAGCCGCGGCAGCCGCGGCAGCAACGGCGGCAGCAACGGCGGCAGCAACGGCGGCAGCCGCGGCGGCAGCAGCACCGGCGGCGGCAGCGGCGGCGAGGCGCGGCCGACCTCGCGCGCGAGCTCGCTGCCCAAACCGCGCAGGCGCCCCAGCAGGTCTGGCGACGCGAGGCTCGGACCTCCTCGCCACCACAGACGGTGGGTCCGGTCCTTCCCCTGCTGCTGCTGCTGCTGCTGCTGCTGCTGCTGCTGCTGCTGCTGCTGCTGCTGCTGCTGCTGCTGCTGCTGCTGCTGCTGTTGCTGTTGCTGCGGCACCCTTGCCCTGCCACGAGCAGGGCACGAAGCGCAGCTGCCTCCGCGCCGTCGCACTCTGAAAGAGGGCGGCTCTCCTTCTGGCCCCAGGCCGCGGAGCCAGGCCACCCTCGCGGCCGCGTGCGGGAAAGACCCAAGCCCTGCCGCGGCCGCCGCCGCCGCCGACGCTGCCAGGTGGAGCTGCCGCCGCCCGTGCTGCCGTGTGGCGCGCTGCTACCGCCGAGGCTGACCTGCGGCCGCTGCTGCCGCCGCTGCTGCCGCTGTCAGTCACCCTGCCTCTGCCGCTGCCGTCAGGCGGCAATGCTGCCGCCGCGGCTCACCCTGCTGCCACCGCTGCCGCCGAGCAACGCTGCCGTCGCCAGGATCCCGCGGCCGCTCTCCCGAAGCCTCTCGGCGGGCACTGCCCTGCCGCCGGGGGCAGCCATTTCTGCCGCATCTCGGGCCGAGCCGCGCCTTGGGGACGCGAACGTGCCGGAGCGGCAGGGGAGGCGGCCGATCCGGCGTTGCCAGGAGTGGCACTGGCCGGATGTGGCCGCCTGGGGGCTGCGAATTCTGCGCCTGCTATGCGCCAACTAGAAGGACTATTGCGACCCGGTTCGGTCGCGTGCCTCAGATGAGGCGCAACGTAAAGGGGGACTGGCTCAGGGGGGGAACATCGACCTGAAATCGGCGATACACCGCCGATAGGTCAGCGATGGGCCCTCGATTGCGAATACACACGCTCCTGGGCGGGGTGGGTTGTCGGGTCCCTATCGGCGATCAAAAGGCAATGCATCGCCCCCTGAGCCTATCCCCCCCTGACGTCGCCGCTGATCAGAGGAGAGACAGAGACCACCACCACCGAGAACCCATCTTGGGGGGGGGCCGACCCCTGAGCGGTGGCACGCCCGATAATCACCTAGTGCTGGAGAACGCTGAGGCGTGCCACCGCCTAGAGGTGGGGGTCCCACCCGATGGGTTCACGATGGCAACGGTCTCATTTTCTCCACTGAATGACACGAGCAAGGATATCGAGCGTACAAACAACTGCGAAACCATATACTTTCGAAGGTCCGCACGGATTTCTCCAGCGCCGCACGTCTCGCGCTTCGCGCCCCAGCGGACGGGGATCCAACTCCAGTTCAAGGAAGCCGCACGGAACTTCGGAAGTTTATGTGTACGCGGTTTTCTAGCTAAAGCAGACGATCCGCACCTTGCATCTCGCATCTGTGCGTTGCGCGGCTGTCTCTCGAGGTCACCCAGGTCGTGAGTGATCGCATAGAATTATGGAGAGTGCGCTCTCGTCTCCCTCGGCTCAGGTTCGCCTGAAGGTTCTGCCCCAGGTGCTGTTTTTACCCTCCTCCAGCGAGCGCACGGTGAACTCCAGCTCACCCCTCGTGGGATAAAAAAAACATGCATCCACCCGCAACGATCGGGGCTGGCGGATACGCCCTCCGGGGAGGACGGCGTATATTCCGACCCTGGAGCCAAAACTGGCAAGGACAAGATCGGCATACGTGTAAAATTGGCTCCACTTGCCCAGAGTCCTGTCAGGGACCCCCCGAACCGTTGCACGGAAGGTTTGTGTCGTGACGACGTCGGCCTTGGTTTCTGACACCGCACGGAGCGTTCAATCCTGAAGGGTCGCGGCTTTCCTATAGCGTGGATCGCTCGATGACGGCCGACTCGAAGAATCGGCGGCATTCAGCCTCGAACGCCGGCGCTGGGGTCGCCGCCGTGCCGATACGACAAGGGACTGTCGTAGCAGTAGCCTGGCTGTGGCGGTGATGCTCCGCCGCCTCGACAGACGAGGAGAAGAGGAACAGGACGGTGCGGGAGCACGCGCAACAATGGGATCCATAGGCAAGCGCAGGCAAGCAAAACGGTAAAACGGTTGATCTATCAATCGCACCACGTCACGAAAAGCGGTGGCCTCCAGAAGAGATTCCACGATGCCTGGGATCAACGAAAGCTGGCATGTTAGCCAGCGTGGACCCCAACCAGCGCTGTAACAAAATATGAAGTGCAATCTGTGTGATACAATCTACGTGGTGCAACTCACCCCCCCCAAGCTCAACCATACCACCCACCCATCCGCAATTGGTTTACAAAACCCATGCGGCAGCGATTGCGATGTCTGCTCGGCGCTGGCCGGCGCCTCGCGTGCCCCCCCCGCCGCCAGCACGCGCGCATGGGCGCGCGAATGATTTCGAGACCCTGCGCGAGAGGCCCCCTTGGCAGAATTGGATCAAAATGCTGAAAAAAAACAAACTATGTTTGTTTTACAAATTCTCGGGAGCGCGAGCGCATGTTTCTTTTTCTGAAAACGGTAGTTGCAAAACCATGTGCTGTTCCATGTCTTCGGGGCATTCGATTTTGAAATCCTGGCGAAACCTCCGGTTTGTTGAAGCAGTTCGGCATGCGCGCGCGACGACGCGCGCGCGCACTTCGTCCCATCTCTTGTAAAGGACAATTCGACAGCACGCGCACAAGGGCGTTCGAACGCATGCGCGCGCGAGAGGCCTGTTGGCTAGCATGGTGTGAACATGTGGGAAAAACAATGGCTTTCTGAAGAGAGCGCGGGTGCAGGCTTGTTTTGCAAAATTTTGGTTGCCAAACAATGCGTTTATATATACATACATATGTATGTGTATATATATACATATATATACATATATGTGTTTGTGTGTGTGTTCGGGGCGTTCGATTTTGGAATCCTGGCGACACCTCCAGTTGTTGAAGGAGTTCGGCATGCGCGCGCGACGACGTGCGCGCGCGCACTTCGTCCCATTCCTTGCAGAGGACCCATGACACCTGCTGAATAGTGATAAACGAGCGCGCGCGCATAAATTGTTTGTTTTCTGCGGAAAAAGAGAGGAGTGGCGATACCGGTTTGGACGGGACGATGTGAATTCATATTTAGGATGGACGATGGGGAAATCATATGAAAATTCAAATACGAAGAAGGCAACCGTTAAGTCCGAGGTGGAGGTATGTCCAAATCCAGTTAAAAATAAGAAGACATAGTTCTGAAAAACTTGGAAAAAACAACTTCACTGCTCGCGCAATCACCCCACCCACTCACCCACCCGCAAGCTGGCTTGCAAGACCAACCCACTCGGCAACGATTGCCATAACTGCTTGGCGCTGGCTGGCTCAGCGGCGCGGCCGCACTAGCGTGCGCACGCTCGCGCGCCGAGCTGCCAGCCAGTGTGGCGCTGACCGCCTGGCACTTCCCAGCGCATCTCGCAGGCCGCGCTGGCGCGCGGGCACTGCAGTGCGAGGCGGTGACTCTGGCAAGCGCGGTGCGGACACGATGATGACAGGAGCGATGATGGTGACCATGACGACGGCAAGGCCAATGACGGCGCCGATGCTGGCCACCCCGACGTCGATGATGGCGCCCACTTGTCGGCGATGAAGCCTTTGGAAGATGTCAAATGCGCGCGCAGCCGACTCGCGCGAGCGGCCCGCAGAGTATTCTTTGACAGCCACCATGCCTCCACACACACACACACACACACACACACGCACACACACAACACACACACACACACACACCACACACACACACACACACCACGCACACGCACACACACACCACCACCACCACCACCACCACCACCACCACCACCACCACCACCACCACCACCACCACCACCACCACCCACCCCCTCCCGACCCCACCCCCGCCCCCAGCAAGCGCGCAAGGGCGCCCGAATGATTTCGACATGCGCGCGCGATGGCCCGTTTGGTCGCATGTGACGAACATGTTAAGTCATAACGGTCGCCCCAAGGATTCGCACGAGCGCGAGCGCGGATTCTCGTGAAACCGAAGGGTGCCCAGCCATCGGTTGCTCATGCTTTCGGGAACCTCCATCTTGTAACTTCGGGAACCTCCATCTTGTAACTTCAACGTCACCAAATGTTCTGAAGGTTCCGACATGCGTTCGCGACGGCGCGCGCGTGGACCCTGTATCCCGCTACTGTCAGGGATGATTGGGGATTGTTGGCTTTTGATTAACAAGTTTGCGCGCATGGTACGATTTGACAGGGATGACGGGGGGCGATACTGGCTTGGCTGGGACGGCATGAGTTCACGTGGAAAATTAACATTGGGGCAGAACCAACTCTAAATTGCAATGTCCCAGGGGGCGTCGGCAAGTCCAGCCTCGGGAAGGTGGATGCAACTGCTCTCGTTATAAAATGAGAATTCATGTGGCGCGCGTGCAAGGGCGTCCGGAAGATTCCGACATGCGCGTGCGAGAGGCCGGCCTGGTCGCCCTTGATGCCATGCGAACACAGCAAAAATGGTTTTCCTCACAATCCGCAAGAGCGCGCACGGACCTCTTTCGGAAAAAATGGGGCAAGACCATGTGTTGCTCGAAAACCTCCATCTTGAAACCCGTACGAAAACAAAGCTGCTTGAAAGATTTCGGCATGCGCGCGCGACGACGCGCGCGCGCGTGCAAATGGTCTAGTTCCCAAACATCCTGTGGTGTTGGGTCCTCGTTTTGAAAAGACGGTCCCCGCGTTCACTCCTCATCCTCCTCCTCCCGCTGCCCCCTC